TATATATATATATATATATATATATATATATATATATATATATATATATATATATATATATATATATATATATATATATATATATATATATATATATATATATATATATATATATATATATATATATATATATATATATATATATATATATATATATATATATATATATATATATATATATATATATATATATATATATATATATATATATATATATATATCTTTCGGAGATCAATTCCCAATCGATCACCCAATTGCAAAACAAGCATGCGTCCTGTTAGTATTGCAGTTTTCTTATAGTCTTGAGCATATAGAATAAAGCACAAATAGGACGTATGCTTGCTTTGCATTTGGGTGATCGATTATATATAAGATCAATTAATTGAATGTCAGAGTTGAACCATCAAGAATATGACAGATTGAGAGATTGTATTTATTTATAAGAATATTGCAGTACTAACTAACACGACGCATGCTTTGCATTTGGTTGATCGATTGGGAAAAAAGAGGTTGCATATTTTATAAAATAGAAACTGTTGCTGCATGTTTTGAGCATATATATATATAGAAGAAGCATTCAATAAAATATATATTGAATGGCCGTGTGTTGAACTTTGGATGGTTCAACTATAGTAATTCATATCCAAAACCTAGATTCATCTTCCTCTACTCTCATACTTATAAATACTACTAGGATAAATTATGTGAATTTATCCTAAAAATCATCTTTTTTACACAAGGAAAAAGTAAAAACATGGGTGATGATACTAGAAGGCCAAGATACATACTATACTACATAGAATATTCACATATACCAATCAATGAAATTGAGAGAGAGAGAGAGAGAGAGAGAGAGAGAGAGAGAGAGAGAGAGACACTTGGATAAATAATGAGTAATTAGTCAGTTATGTTTCCAAACATGGTAAACCCAAAAAAAAAAAAAAATTCTGTAATTATCCTATTCAATAGTTGGTGATAAAGAATCATTCCCTAATTAATACCCAAGCGATAATCATTTATTCATAAATAATAAAAATGGAAAAAACACATAAGTTCAATACAAATCTTGTACAGCTAGCAAAATGTATGAGGGCGGACTTCTTGATCAACAAAACACTAATCTTTACTACACATCGATGATGGTATTACTTCTTTAACACATGTAAATATTGGGTTTTATATATTTGTCATGCATACATACTATATATTTATATGTATATCTAAATTCCAAAAGTAGACCAAAATAATAAAAAGTAGCATTTGACCAAAATAAAAAGTAGAGATAGTAAAAAGTAGCAATTTCTTTACATGTAAATAGATTGGGTTTAGATTGGGAAAGCAATTTATCCATGTGTATGATAAAAAACGATAATGTGCAATTTAAGAAAAGATTGAAGTAACACTTGCATTCCATAGATTAGCTTGTTTGTTCATAACAATACGAGCATGAATAGCATTTACTCAATTTCTACATATATAGTTTAAGCAAGCATTGTCTCACTTTTTACAGGCACCTTATTTTTAAGGTGCATAGCATGATGTATTGCCTTTGCTTCCTTCAACTTTTTTCTCTTTCCCTAGATTGATTGCTATGATGACATTCCCACTTCGTGGTAGGATCAATAACAAGTTTCTCGAGTGCAAAAGCATTCTTTATCAAGAACATGACATGTTCGACAACATTTGTACGAACCCTGATACTTCTACTTGGGGTTAAGTAAGAAAATTTCAATTTCAGAGGATAAACTGTCACTAAGCCTCCGGTCCAGGGGATAAAATAGTAATCAAGCCTAATTACTGACTACTGCAAAGTATGCTACTCTACCCATATATATTTGATATCCAACTTTCTCACATTTATTGATTCGTCTTTTATTTGCATCTTTTAGAGTGAGAGACAGTAGTGAAGCTCCCAACAAACTACAATGATTGGTGAGTAATATATTGAAGAAAAACTCATGGATTTGTCAATACATAATTCAGAATTGAGAACTCTTTGTTTGCTCAAACAAAACAATGTAGTAATGTAATTAGAACATAACAGGTGAGGGCCGCTCTTGAGATTTTAATGGCTCTACGCAAAACATAAATTGGGCCCTCACATGATTTAATATGAAAATACAAGATTAAAATAAAAATTTTGACGACTCAATGCCCTAAAACATTTTTTTTTAGTTCCAACGATATTCTGAATACTGTAGGCGCACTATTTTTTTATAGTGCGAATCATTCTTTTTTGTTGTCAATACTGTAAGCGCATTGAGGTTCCAAGTTTGAACCATGTACTTCCCAGAGCTTCAAGCCATGGCCAAATTTCGTAACAATTGACCCAAAAAAGAATTCGTAACAGAAAAACAACAATTCTGTCTGATAAAAAATAAAAAATAAACAAACAAATCTGTTCCACGGCGCGGGAGGACCCAAACTCTTGTCTGTTTACCTAGCTTACGTGTACTTGTTTATATCGCTGACCTTTTCGCTTTCTATCTCAACTCTTTTCATTATTTTCTTACATTGCTGAGTCAATCCATGGTCATTTTCATGCGCATGACTATATGTCTATGAGATTCAGATGAAAACAACAGCAAAGTTTTAGAATAATTAATTCAATTGCTGGGGTCATTTTCATTTTCATTTACAAATACGAACTAGTTGTTCCAAAATAATTTCTCATGTATTTCCAAGGGATGAGAAATGGAAGATTCATTTCCCATGTTTGGTAATCCTGGGAAAGTAACCAAGAAATATCATTTTATTTACTTTCACATATTTGATTTGTATAGGAATGTAAAAACAAAGTTTGATTTGTATAGGAATGTAAAAACAAAGTTTGGAGGGGGGGTGGGAAATTCGGATCCAGGCCAGGTGGGGTGATAAGGGGAAGGCCAAAACACTAAGCCACTCCACGTCTTCTAAAACAATTGTTTTAACTGGAATTTATCACCAGTTAACGTGTAATGATCTAGCTCAACAATCTTTTAGCAAAACATGCCTAGTCTAGTGGTGAGGTGTGGTAATCTTAGTTGGTCATCAATCCCAGGCTCAATGAGGTCATTTTATGGAGAAATTTTTGTTATTTTGAAAAAAGTAGAAAAGAAATCATCGGAGCACACAAGTGGGATTGAAACTCATGCCTCTATTGAAATTAAAAGTGCAACAAACCAAATATGTTGTCAGTTCACGTTTATATAAAACATACACGCAAAATCGAGGCCCTATGCGGTGGCACCACTTGCACCATGTCAGGACTGGCCTATGACTAGGGGCTCTTTACTCCAGTCGGGCTCTCTAAACACTTCTCTTGTAACGTTTGTATTGTACTAACTTACTCTAAGCACTAGTGACTACATATTATCATGTATTTGAGTTAGCAGTGCTGGAGTTCCTCATAATTTCTTGAAGTGGAAAGATAAGATCATGGGATGGGCTTGCATTGCAAAAAATTCATCAACGAAACCATCCACCACAAGCATCTGCAATAAATAAAATTCCTCTATGATGAGAGGGAAAAAACGCAGCATCTGCGGCAAAAACTTCATCAAGAAAACTGTTACGTACCAGAACCATCCTCGTCATATTTTTAAACAGCTTAATGTGGTAGAGTATTTGCTTCTTCTTTTTTAAAATTGAAAGTAATTGTTTAAAAAGCCACACTGAATGGAGAATGTATTTCCCATCGTTTGACAAAGTTGCGGTAATAATTTTTTTCTGAAAAATTTAGTTTAAGAAGAATCAAGTCACAAAAAGTTAACAAAGGTAAATTAAAATGACCTAAACTAAATCATGGGAAATTGTTTCTCCCAAAACCATTATAGTGTCCAGCAATTTGAAACGTCTTGGCTGCTATTTCAGTTTCCATCTTAGTCCCAAACAGATTCCCAAAACCATTATAGTGTCCAGCAAACAAACCAATCCAATCAAAATGACCAGCAGGTCTTGTTAGAAACTGAATAATAACATAGGATCCAGTATTGGGCCATAGGAGTGAAAAGAGAAAAGCAAAGAAATAGGCCTAAAATCAACCAAATTAAGTTTAGAACAAGGAGCAAGCCATAAGGGATCAAGATATAATACCCAAAAAAGCAAAATAGAACCACGTCACAGCTTGAGGAAAAATAATCCATAAAACATGAGCACAGTACCACAATTATAATAAATATAACATTCAAATAAGCGGAAGTCAACAAAGACAAATTAAAATGACCTAAACTAAGTTTGAATTTTCATATTTCACAATTCCTAATAACCGCTTGGGACATCATTAGTTTCGTCATGCTGCATGGCTTCTATTTCCAGCTTCCTGGCGGTTATTTCTTCTTGTTTTGACTGATTCATACTAGTCACACTCTCCTCTTTTATGGGTTCATAATCCCCACACTCACTGAGTCAAAATAATGAGAAACCTTGTTACATACAAAACACAACAAATAAAATGTTATTGATGAAAACACAAGAAACGTGAAGGAAACTTACGGTGTGAAGCAGAAAAGAAGTTCAAACCATTCAGAGCCCTTGATATCCACTGAATGAACACTTGAATGTATGGTTTTCATCATACATCTTCCTCCTTCTCCAACAACAATTTGAAACGTGGTGATAGTAAGATATTGAACCTTGAGACGTGAATCGCACCATCCAGTCTGGACATGGAAAAAGTCATGATTCCCCAAATGAACCAAATATTGTGTTATATCATTAAACCATGGTAGCTATGGACGCACGAACTCAAGGCCTTGCGATATAAAAAGTTGGCTTAGGGAATATGCAATACCACCATAATCACCTTTGCCCATACTAAAGGAGAATGCTATAATCTTTGCCTCCCCATATAAGGCATAGATAGTGTCGCCTACAACCACGGCCCTCCCTTGAAAAGGAGGGGCACAATAAACAGAAGTGTCAAGTTTCACTCGATTCCAGTCCTTTCTACCCACGTGAAAAGCAACGACACCAAAATTCCCATTCCTCAAGCCACACAATGAAATCAAAATAGCGCCATATCAAACAGCATAACCAGTTATTTGCATACGGTGGTCATAATCATCATAAAATGGAAAAGAAGTCATTTTCTCCCAAACCTTCTGATCAGAATCATATCTACCGAAGGAGTGCCCCATAACTGGTGAGAATAAGCTTGATGGACATGCAAGATAATAAACCTTGTCGTACGCACACACAATAGTTTCTATTGATTTAGAGGCTAGGATAGGAGGAATAGATGAACAGTTTGACCAAGTCTTCGTGTCAAGAATAAATCCACCGTCCTTTCCAATGCAGTATAATTTGGAATGGTTGAAAATCCGTGCAGCCTGACGACAACCACCGTGGAACTTGGCAACATGTCTAACTACTGGGGGTTCATGAGTGACTTCTCCTCCGTGTTTGAATTTGACTTCATAGACTGCATTAGTGTGTTCTTCGTCCTCATAAGAAGACACGAATAAACATACAGATCTAGATTCCCCTTGATTTACCGTCATTAACGAATGTTCCCAATCCTTGGGTAAGCTGGACAGAGAAGAGAAGAGAGATGCATACAACAAGTCAAGTTAATCTTTTCAAACACCTACCCTGCCTAAAAAGAATTTATCTAGTATATAGAAACTGGTTATTATATATTTAAAGCAAAAAATAGTCAAATTGCATGCAGCAGCGAGAGAAAACTTAAGCAAAATTCTCCGAGAAAATAAACAAATAGGAAATTGATAGAAAATTTTGAAAATAAACAAACAACAGCAATGAGAATTAAGAACACCAACAATTTTACAGAGAAACAAAAATGAAGAACACGAAAATCCACTAACCCATGCACTGACCTTGGGTAAAGATCATAGGCCTTTGGGTTGGGATGGCTGGGATTGTAGTTTTCAATCACCGTGCAAGGGGGGCTTAGAAAGCGAAGCTCTTGCGTTATTGATTTCGACAAATACAACAGTTGGCCCAGAGTTTTCTCCATCTCCAATATCCTGCCCGCAGATTTCTCCATCTCCAATATCTTATTGCCGAGTAGCTCATCTTGGTGTGAAGCCATCATGCCTTGACCCAAGGTGAGCTCAGCGGCGGAGTCGGAAAATTGAGATATACACCGAGTCCCCATGATAGGGCCTTTGCTATTGAAATGCTTAAATTGAGGCAAAAGGGATTTTAGGGTTTGGGGTTGCTGCGACATAAGCTAATTTTATTATATGCTTGGTTGTGGGTATGAAAATATATGTTAAAGCTTGGAGTTTATTCAAGAGATCAATATGCTTTCATTCATCCGTAAAGTCTGAATTGCAAAGCATATGTATTTATATAAGGGTAAAGGGTTGAAAACCCCCCTGGACTATTTGGCTTGTCGAAATGTCCACCCTGAATTTTTTTTTTCAGCCAATTTAGCCTTCGTATTAAATTTAATCGCTAATTTCACCCCTGCCGTTAGGTTTTCCCCAATTCCATCCAAATGCCTGTCAAATATAAGGGTCAATTTGACATTTTACAAGGTAATGCATTAAGAAAATATGGAAAATGTAATGTAATATATTTAAAGGTATAGCCACCCGGCTATACTGGCAATTTCATTGTACAGAGGGCCCTTAGGCTGTGGCTCTTCATTGGAGACTGTGGAGACTGCAAGCTCCTTTCGGCCTTTCACTTGAGGGCCCTTCAGCTCCGGCTCTGTGGTGTGGCTCATTGGCGCCCATGAGCTCCAATTCTACAACTGCGACAGAGCCAAAGAGGCCCAAATGCATGGCTTTCAAACCCTAGTCTGCATCCCAACCCCCACCGGCGTTCTCGAAATCGGTTCTTCAGATTCGATCAGAGAAAACTGGAGCCTGGTCCAGCAGGCCAAGTCGTTATTCGGGTCGGACTTCATCTGCTCGGTAGCAGACCTGGAAACCAGATCCCCCATTGACTTCATAAACCGAAACTTCTCTTTCGCCGATATCGGAATCATCGCCGGCATAGAAGAAGAGGAGGACGACAAGAAGGAAGTGGCGCTGGACTTGACGATGATGAAGAGGAAGGGTGGAAACCCGGGAACGGGTCTGTACCCGGATCCAAACTCGAACCCGAAGCCAGACTACTCGGACTTCGACAGTGGTCCCCAACGGTTCTACGCGCTGCGGGCGGTGGTCCCCAACGTGTCGAGAATGGACAAGGCGTCGCTGCTATCCGACGCCGTTTCTTATATCAACGAGCTGAAGACGAAGATGGACGAATTGGAGGGGATTGGGTTTGATCGGGAAGAAGGGAAACAGAGGTTCTAGAGAGAGAAAAAGAAAAGTTTTTGTTGGTTTTTTTATTTTTATTAATATTTTATTCAACTTGTGTTTTAAAAAGATTATTTTATTCTTTTTTGGACGGCCATTTGGATGGAATTGGGAAAACCTAACGGCGGGGGTGAAATTGGCGATTAAATTTAATACGAAGGCTAAATTGGCTGAAATTTTTTTCAGGGTGGACATCTCGACAAGCCAAATAGTCCAGGGGGGTTTTAGACCCTTTACCCTTTATATAATGACCTAATTAATCTTGCTAGAAACAGGAAACTTTCTTTAAAAAATGATTTTTATTTTTATTTTAAGAGTCGGGAAAATTTTACTACTGTTATTTTTGAAATGGAAGATATATGAAACCTTCTTTTTTTCTTTTCTTTGTGTAGAGAGAACAAGAAACTTATAATTGTTTTTTAAGGACAATGCTTGGCTCCTGACATATCAGGAGCCATTCCTCCTCATACAAGATGTGGCCTTCTAAAAAAATGACACCTGTTTTGTTTTTTTTCACTGACCCTCCCTCTCTCTTCTCAGCCACTCTCCTCTCCTCCCTAAGCTCTCTCTTCTTCTCTCATCTCCCCATCTCTGTCTCTTCCCATGTTTCTTTTTTTTTTTTCCTTTTTTTTTTGTTTCAATGATTCTCCCTCTCTCTCTTCTCACCCACTCTCCCCAGCTCCCTCTTCTCTTCCCATGTTTCTTTTTTTTTTTTTTTTTTTCCCAGCTCTCTCTGCTCTCTTCTCCCCATCTATGTCTCTTCCCCTGCAACTCTTTAGAAGAAATTTTCAGCCCCTTTCTCTTCCCATCGCTGCTCCTCCATCATCATCACCCAAACACTATGTATTGATTTCTCTCTTTTTTAATTTTATTGAGTTATTTATTTGGGAGTTTTGGAAATTTTGGGAATGGTGGAAGAAAGAGATGGAGAGAAGAGAGAAGAGAGAACACGGGAGGAGAGAGAGAAAGAGAGTCTGTTAAAAAAAAAAATTATAAAAAAAAAAAGAAGACAGGTGTCATATTTTTAGAAGGCCACATCTTGTATGGAGGAGGAATGGCTCCTGATATATCAGGAGCCAAGCATTGTCCGTTTTTTAATATGCGTGTACGACTTACTTTTCTAATTTAGTAGGTGTAGGTGTATTGACGGCTTTATTGTATTTAGTTTCCTTTTTTTAAAAATATTAAAAAAAAGATTTCTATCTCTTTATTCTATTTGGTTTCCCGTTTTAAAATTCCTAGTGTTACCTGTTTGTATATTTGTTACCTTTTTTATTATTTTTTTGGGTTTGCTGGTGAGATTGGGTTTTAGGGCCAATTGAGGAAGTGGTTTAGTTGAAAGCCCTATATAATTTACCTTCTTTTCTCCCTCCCTCTTTGATTTTATTGCTTCACTCTCGTTAATCAAAGGTGCTGGTGGACTGGATCTCTCTTTGACTCCATCGTTTTTTCTTCATTGTCCAAGATAATCAAAGGTTAGCTCATAATTTCTCAGTTGTATTTTAGTTTTTGGTTTCTTTTCTTTTGAACATTTTAGTAGTATTTTTTCTATTTGGTTAGAGTTGTGCATCTCAGTTTTCTTAGGATGTACACTGCTGTTTTTTTTACCTTACATTTTTTTTTGAGCTCGAGTGTTTTCTAAGGATATTGTTTGTTCTTATAAGTATACTGTATCTTTGGATGATTTTGTTCTCTTCGTTCTTGATTAGCATGCTTATGTTGACGGAAATTTTAATTTCTCTTTTTGTTGGTCTTATTTTAATCTCTTAGTTTTATTATTTTCAAATTATTTTTGCATGATGTTGATGTTTGTTGGGTGTGATGTAATTGTATTTACTTTCTAGAAAACTAAGACTAACGCTAGCTGAAAGTAATTTTTGGGTAAAAATTCTAATTTTTAATCTTAAAATTTTCAGGAAATGGAGGTTGATCGTGATTTAATTGACGACGCTTACATTGATTACATTAAAAGTCAATGGCGCAACAATAATTCAAAAAACATTGTAATGGGTTCTCGTATTAGGTTTTACTATTTTCGTATCGATTATGCTAATGGGAAACAACATTACAATGGTGAGCTGTTTTTCAAGGAAAAAAACTAGGTGGAACGCCTGTGACATTTATGAATGCGTATGCTAAGGCCGGAACTAGATTGAGTGTTGAAGAAATTTTTAGGTTAAACACAAGAGTAGCTGATAAAAGGATTCTCCGCCCATGGATGTATACATTTTGCAAATCGAAATCATTTGGTGATGCATGCAGTGTAGCTGAAGAAAATATGGTGAAGGGTTGGTGGAGCTTGTGTTATGACAAGTTTGATAACACACTCAATGAATGGTTGGTCAAATTACATAAAAAGGAAATTAGTGATCATGAAAAGTTCAACTCGATTATTAAAAATGATTGCCTATCTGATTTCTGGAGTTGTACAATACGGTGAGTGTTATAGTATTTTTGTTTTAGTGCTATTAATTTATGGTTTAGTTAACTAATGTATTTTATGATGTGACAGGGAATTAATAGAGGCAATTGCTCACATTCATGATTGTGGGCTCTTCCATGGTTCGTTGAGCGAATATTATAATTATGTTGTTGTTGGGGACCAAGTAAAACTATTTAACATCGGTGGTTGCTTGAAGGGCCTTAGTGTAGATAACCAACATTCAAAGAAAATCCAAGATTTCAAAGACTTCAGGGACTTTCTGAAGAAGCTAATGCCAGCCAGATCTCCTAAATGGAATGAGCGTGATAGTTTTCTTAAATGTTTTGACGAAAAAATAGACAGGTGAGTTCTTTTGAACTTAATGTTTCGGTGAAATATATGTTGTTACTATTGTGTGTTTCTAAGTGTTTATTTTATTTTTTGTCTTTTCAGCTATGAAAAATATGTTGAGAAATTGAAGAATCACCCTTTTTTATTGACTCCTTATAAAAGGGTGAAATATATTAGTGGTATTTATTATGACGATAAGTTTGGTGTGGAGGACAAGTTGAACCGGGGTTCTAAATTTCAAAAGTTCCGTGGTTGGACCAGAGGCAGACATAAGTTGAAGCCATTCTTGCGTGCAGTACTCGAGTCTCGTAATGGTAAACCATATAAAGATGACCCGTCAGAGCTTTTAAGGTTCCTGCGAAACATCTATGCGCATTATAGGCAATATGGTGATATGGAAAAGATCGAGGAAGTGGACACTATTTTTAGAACACTCTGGGTTGATTTTTTTGATATGATTCATGTCATCACTTAGTTTCTTAGACTACTACAACTTTATCGTCGAAAAGACTACTACTACAGCTAGATAACATCAATCTGTAGAAGATACTTTAATGCGCGCGTCTAATTGTTTGTTTGTTTGTTTGTTTTATGAATGCATAGTCGTATTGTTTGCTTGCTTATTATAAAACTCAGTTTTCCAATATTAAGAAGAGCAATAACCGCGGTATTACCAACAACAATTATTGCCCATAATATACCAAAAGGCTATAAAACTTTTGTACCGTTACCAGTGGGCCCCAGTTTACATAGTAGGTAGGCCCCGTTGGCTCGGTTGACCAGATGTCTTTCGAGACCGTCTCGGCCATTGGTGACACTTAGGACTACTTCCGGACTTGTTCGTTTAGGTTTCACATAGTTAGGATATGGGGAAACGAGGGTTTCACTTTAAAGTCTGGCGGTTTTGGTTCACATGTTATTTCTGGCAGTTTTATCTCTTAAAACAAAGTCCACTCACAGATGATTCTAAGCTAAATCAACTCTAAATGGGTCTATCCACAGAAGTACTTGGAGCTAGTGTACCTATTTGAGACATATGCATGTTAGATTCAACAGAATATAAATTGAAGTTTAAAAACGAAACCCTAGAGTTTCACGGCTCTAATTGCGTGCAAAGCCTAAGCGTGACGTCCATATGGTCGACCGAGCCTGTGGGGGCCAACGACCTCATAATCATGATCTGGATGTCCCTATAGGTCAACTACGGTTCAATGAACACATCCTCAAAGTTTGGTCTCGATCCAACGATCGGATCATCCTCCATCTTAAAATCTGCCTGCTATCTATAAGCGTGACCCAACAAACGTTGATCCGGAATATCCAGACCTCCAATTTTGGATCCGTAAGTTCCTATACACTCGTGATGGTACGGGGAAAACATCCATAAATGGGGTTGATCCAATGATTCGATCATTCCAGATCAAACAGTCCATAATAGGCGAAACTCCAATCGTCGGTAAAACGATTGAGTCTCGCCAATCCAAGCATACCATCGTGCTCTGGATGATATGGAGATAACTACATGACAGTAAAACGATCAAGCATGATGAGGGGAGTGTTTTTCGTTCTAGGGTCGAGGTCAAAAGGCATCGGACTTGGGTGGAGAAAGGCCAAACCTGTATGGAGATTCTCGGCTGGAGATTTTCCAACTATAATCGATTGCAATAGCCAAACCTTTTGGAACAAGAATCACGTCCAACAGTGCCCTGAGCTAGCCAACTGTCATGGATCCCAAGGGGGAATTCGGGGCGGGTCCTGTCATGGAACTTGGCCAAGGACCTATAAATTGGCTAGTCTGACTTGTGCTACCTTATAGAAACTTCCCTTATTACGTCCCCCACCCAGGGTAAGAAATATTCTTGGAGGCTTTCTTCATTTTGCCAACATTTTGTCATATTTGTTTTTTATATCTTTTTTGAAAAGGGGAAAGAAATTTCTTTGGGAGATTATATTGAGCGTGAAATTCATTGTAGCTATAAGATAATTGTATGCACATATTTTTCCAGTATGGAGTTTGTGATTCAATTGGAGTTCGCTAGCCATAATAGTTTGTACATTTACAGGTGGTTGAACAAATATGATATGCTTGAATGTTGATTTCCATTTACTTGCAGGATGGTGCTCCGGCAGAACGATTATAGCTACGATTTCTGTTCTACTTGAGGTATGCAAAAATGATTGGCTATTCCTCGGTCTCTATACTACTCCGTTCATTGCATATTTAACT